GTGTGTGTGTGTGTGTGTGTGTGTGTGTGTGTGTGTGTGTGTGTGTGAACATGGTTGCACATACCTGTGGAATTGAGAAAAAGTGATGGGTTCACTGGAATGATAGGCAATTGTGACTTTCTGGGAACTGAATTCAGGTCCTCCGCAAGAGCAGCAAGGACTCTTAACCACTATGCTATCTCCGAGGACCCAATAACTGAAAGTAAAAATATGAACTTGCCGTATAGCATGATGTTACTGTAGCTTTCCAATGAGGTTTTCACACTTACACTTTATCTCATGAGTTTCATGTTCTTTTCAGCTAACAATGACAAGGCGTCCACCGACAGTTGTTTGTTACATCTGTGGTCGCGAATACGGAACCAAATCTATTAGCATTCATGAGCCACAATGTCTGAAAAAATGGCATAATGAGAACAATTTGTTGCCTAAAGAACAAAGGAGACCAGAACCAAAAAAACCAGAAATTAGAGGCATTACTGGTAAGTTCTTACAAAAAAGAGTGAGAGAGACTTCGGAGATGAACTATTTTTTCTTACTAACTCAAACCTCTGAAATCAACAGCACTTACTGTCTTAAATGAAGTCAAATTTGATTTCTCAAAGACATTCTGGATGCCGAGTCATAAAGATGCTATGTCCTGGCAACACCATGAACATTTACTGTTATTTTCCTAAAGTTATTTTTTTACATATTATAATGCATAGTATCTTTAGAAACATAAAGCTTAAAGACTTTTGGGAGTATTAACAGCCTTGCTTTTATTTGTAAATGTATGTTGATTCTCCCCATGGAGCAGGAGTACCAAACCCAGATGCTTACCGGATCTACTGACTAGTCAGGTTACAAAATTAAAGAAAGGGTTTCTTGTGTAAACAAAGAAAGAAGGTGCCCCATCCAGCTGCTGTTATCATTAAGAAATTTAGCACACGAGGGTTGTAGCTTCCGATGAATGCAAATGAAACCAGAAATCTAAACATCTGGATGAAATGTTTAGATTTTGTTTTTACAACCAGTATTTATAAAGTGCTATGCGACTCAAGTGAATGTGGAGCTGTACAGTCTCACATGAGGGTCACAGAGTGCTGTGTTTCCTCAGAATATGAACAGAGTTGAACGAATATACATATGTGTGTATATTTATAAAATTGTCATTTATGCATGCTCAGTCTCAATCATCATATTTCTATCATTAATGTTTTTTTTCATTTGATTTCCTCATTCCTTAAGGGATATTTGATTTTTAAGAGAAGCATCTTTCAATGTACTTTTCCTGTGTAGTCATAGCTACTGTGCAAGCTGTTGAACATTGGCTAGTTCATGGCCCTCTTTAAGATGTGATCCAAGAAGAGTATGGCAACAACCCATAGAGTGAAATCAAGATTGTTATAAGTTCTAGATGCTATCAAACCCCTGCTATTCACAGTCCTGGGCAAGAAGGGACTTAAAGGTTGAAAAAGAATTCAGAATGAATACCTTGGGTCTGGGGAGACAGCTCAGAGGTTGAGAGCACTGACTCCTCTTGGCAGAGGACCTAGGTTCTGTTCCTAGCACCCACATGGCAGCTGACAACCATCCATAACAGTTCTAAGAGATCCAACACCTTCTTCTGACCTTCTTTGGCATCATGCATACGTATGGTACACATACATACGTGCAGGCAAAACATCCATACACATAAAATAAAATAATAAACTATACACCCACGGAAATCATAGCATTTGTCTCTAAAGAGACTACCTTCCTGGCTTCCTAGACCTTCTTATTTGGTACACAAAATAACCTTTTCTAATTCACTGCATTGCTTTTTCTGCTTGATATATACCATCATATGGCCAAAAGTGAAAATAATAACTTGAAAATCCCTGGAGGGTGGAGGGGGCTCACTGTTTGCCACTGTTGGCAGAGAGAAAGGGTAGATCCTGCCATTTGCCTGCAATTTTTCTCTTGGCTTCAGGCTACTTTTATCTATGAAGGCGTCATTCTCCTCCATGTAAACAAAACTGGCATGCCCTCTCACACATTCAGTGCAATAACTCTTTTCCTGGATCCATAGTCAAAGCGCTAGGCAGAAATATTGCAGTGAAAATGTCACTGCCATCCTTTACAGTTTTCAAAGCACTCAAAACACACACTCATGTGCTTGGCCATTAAGTACTCATACTGATCTTGCCGGGAACCCGAGTTCGCTTCCCTGAACCTATGTCTGGCAGCTCAAAACTGCCTGTAACGCCAGCTGCGACACAGCCAGCATCCCTGGCTCACACAGGCACATGTATTCATGTGCACACACACACACACACACACACACACACACACTTAAAAATAAAAGGAGATCTTTAAACACACATTCACAATCTGTATAATAGTGATGCGTGCTTTATCTAAAGGAGAGATGCCAGGTTGCACAGGGTTGAAATCTCCATTGAAAGCAGGCATGCTAAAGGTTTGTTATGGTTGTGTGAGCCACTAAGATAAAAATCAGATGAAGGTAGCCTAGTGTTTAATGACGTAACAAACGCTGGCCAATGATAAAAACAGATACATTTTGAGTGCCTGGTCATATTTGGGGGACCTATTTGGAGATTTTAGGAGATTAAGTCAACTTAATGTACGAAAGTCATTCTATTTAAATAAGGCTTATTAAAGTTAAACCCCACATTGTTCCTCCAAAATAAAGCCATATGGCTTTTTCCCTCCCATGTGCCTTCAAAGAAGATTATACATTTTCAGCTCCCTTCCCCTCAGCTTGTTTTGTTTGCATTCTTCACTTTAATTAGTTAAAGAAAGTCTGAGTTTATGGCCATGAAGAGATGATGTTTTTTAGGGTATAATTCCTCTTAAATTCACTCTCAGTTGTCAGTTTGGGTCTCTGAAAACATTCCAGGGAAGGATTGCATAAGAGGAAAATACAAGCACGTTCTTTTCTTGTTGTAAGCTTATATTTATAACCAACAGAAAGAAAGCCAAAAGTTATATTTGCAAGATAACAACGTGTAAGCAAAGATGTTAATAATTAGTGAAGAATGCATATCATAGCAAGGAACTATATCTTTCCCTTTTTAATATTCAAAGAGAAAAAAGCCTGCAGTTCTAGCTGAAAAAAAAATGCTCAATACTATTTACTATATTTATTAAATTCTGCCAAAGTCACGTGATTTACTTGAAACTGCCAGTCAAAGGTATTTTCTGAGACTATTTTCAATAAATAGTAAACTATGGATTCCTAAATTGGAAACTAACCCATTTTACCCCTTTATTTTCCTCCTCACTCTTCCTTTTTTCTCTTTCCTCTCTTTCTTTTTTCCTTCTTCTCTCTCTCTCTCTTTCTTTCTTTCATCTTTCTTTCTTTTTCTTCTTTAAAATATTTGCCTCTTTCCCATTCTCTTTGCAGCCAAAGGGTTCTATGATCTTGATGCCATAAACGAAGCTGCTTGGACAAGTGCCCAGAGCCAATTGGTTCCCTGCAACATTTGCGGGCGGACCTTCCTGCCAGACAGACTGATTGTTCACCAGCGATCTTGTAAACCTAAAGTCGCCAAGTAAAGCCCTTTGGTCAGCAAAAGTGTCACAGGAGTGAATGCCTTCCAAAGGGACCGAGTCGAAGCGGGGAGGGAGGGGCCGGGGGGATGGGGAGAATAATCCTGGAAAACTAGAGTTCCCTGAGCACTAGCCCAGCCAGAGGTGGACAATTTTTTTTCCAGCTGTAAGGGGACCATGTTCCACGTTTGTCAGGAGGAATTAGCAGCAGATTGCTTCTTAAAAGAGCTGGAAGTTTTGTCTAAAGGACATTTCTCAGGCAAATTGTTGCCAGTTTTCTCCCCTTCTCGTTTTCTCAACAAGGTCTTGAACCACGGAGCGAGCCTTGCACCCAGCGAAGAGAGCCTCAACGAGACAATCTGAGGCAGTCCTAGGTTGTAGCCAGCATCGATTTCCTTCCTAATCCTTTGCTTTCTGACCCATGGATGTATTTACACAGAGTTACTGAGAAGTTTCTTTTCCTCGTAGAATCACTTGAACAGGATACATAAACCTAAAAGGGCTGACAACATAAAAAGCATTAGAATCGTATTTCAAAATTTTACTGTTTCTAATACTAAGAAACGCTGCCGAGACGTTGCCTAGCCGATAGCTCCAGCCTCACTTGTCAGGAGAGCAACTCATCTAAATGGGTGGAGGCTAGCTCCTTTCTCCTGTGGAGGTCCAGCAAGGGTTCTTTAGGCCTTCTTGGGGATTTATAGGTTCCTCATTGTTTTGTCTAAAGGCCTGCCAGGAAGTTCTATGCCTCCCCACCCAGGCCCACGAACCATAAATGGGTTGTGAAAGAGCTTTGTATTTTAGCCTCTTTGAATGTGTTTTAATCCAGGAATGGCTATACTGGAAAGAGGCCTGGGGCCAGAAAGGTGCTCTGCCCAGGAAATCCTGCTCTCCCAGGTAGTGTGGCTTTGCCTAGATGCCCAGCAATCTACTTGGGATTTTTTATTCACGATCGGGACAGATTCCAAGACCATGAGGATCCACCAGGTTTCTGCAGTCTTTGCCTCCACAGCCTTAGAGAGCACAGTTATAAATCACAGGCAAATCCATTCAGCCCTTTTTGGTCCCACATTTACTTATATGGGGTTGGTTAGAGTAATTGTGCTAATCGTTCTGTTTTCTGTGCCAAAGGAAGCAAGAGATGAACTTTTTCTTTTTTTTTTTTTTTAAGCCTGGAGATACTCTGAAGGAAGAGCTGGCATTTAATGACTCATAGTTGATGGCTCCATTCTTTCAGCTTGTTAACCTAAATGATGGAGTATAGCACTCTCCCACAATGTCTAGTAACTAAGACAAAAAAAAAATCTTGATGCACTTGTCAGTCTCTGGCTGAGCTCGGTTTATCTTAGAGTGAGGTGAAAACAAAACTTTGAAGGCAAGACATGTTAGAGGTTTTGAAAGATATTTAGGTACTCTGCTGATGTTCTGGGAATAAAATGTGGGTGTGGATAGGTAGAGCAACTTCTGGCCTCAACCTGCAAGGAGCTTCTGCTGAGCATTATAAAGAGGTTCACAGGCACAGCCAAGGAACAGCAGCTGTGTCTTCATCTATATGAAGCAGGCCTCCGAGTTTCTGAAGAGATTGAAAACAAGGGGCTCTTCCAGGGATTATTGCATTCTAGGAGAACTGTGAACAGGCTTGAAAATCCATCAAGGAACTGACTGTGGGGATTCCACAGGTGCCTGTACCTCAGCGGGTCCTCAAATGTACCATGGAATTAAACACAGAGAAAGCTCAGTTGTAATGACGTCACCCTCACGTTCTGTTCCATTAGGAAGGCAAGTTAGCAAAGTCTTGCCATGAGTAGGAATGAGCTCACCAGCTCTTTGCCAACTACCCCGTCATCCCAGGGAGTTCACATCTGTTGAAGATCTACTACGTACTTCTCAAAAGAAAATAGGCTAACAATGGTTGGAACCTTCACGACTCATGAATAATAATCCCCTGCATGCTGAAGGAAAAAGAGTAGATGAAGGTCCTTAGAACTTTCCATTAGCCCAGGTAGCTATTGGTGTGGGATATTAAAAAACACTGTTACAAAACACTAACAATAATGCACTGCTTTCTGCACTCCATTACCTAGTTAGGTACAAACTTTATTTGAATAATTTGTTAGGTTAGGGGCATGTTTACGGAATTTCTTGATAGTCCTTTACTTATTGAATCTACATAAACATTACAAGTTATGCCCAATGAAAACGACAAGCGTCTTGGAGAAAGGAGCATTGCTACTATATGCAAGCATTTAAACATTTTCTGTCCATTATGGGGGCTCTCCAGGCAACTACATCATAGTATTTTTGTAACAAGTATTTCCAGATGATGGTCCAGGGTAATACTCTGTTGAATTGCTTTGATTTGAGGAACATGGATCTCAGTTCCTCTGTAGAAAAAAAAAAAAAAGTTGCTATTTGAGCTTCTTTGGAGCTAAGAATAAGGAAGAGATATCAGAAACTCAATATCTTCTGCTTCCTGAAAGCAGACCTTGGACGTTCTGTTCTTGTCTCCTTCTGGAATTAATTTCTTCTTTTTACTTGTGTCTAATACCAATAAGAATGGCTTGAATCCCATATCGTGTCGAGGAAGGAAACTCAGCCCTTTCCTTCCCCTACCCTGAGAGGTCTTTCCCCTAATCTGGCAGCAGTCCATCTTTCCTTATCACTTGCCTTTCATACAGATTCACTATCTGGAGCATACAAACAGTTGGCTTTGCCTGATCTCTGTATCAGGAGATGAAAAATAAGGTTTTCCCTGCACTTGGAAAAAATATTACAAATGCAAAGCAGCAAGGCTTCCAGAAGAGGCCAGGCCAAACTGCCTGGGAAACAGGGAAAACTCTGATAGTATTGCAGGATGGTACATTTTTATTTTTCTTTAAGATCACGTTAGAAAGATATTCAACCTGATAACTTTAAACCAAAGAAGAATGAACTCTTATTCTCTATGTCCAGGTAGACTTGCTTCTGTTATCACACTAAGGCTGCATTCGAATTGTTTAAACCCCACTGTTACCACCTGGAATAAAAAACAAGATGAAGATGCCAGAGAGACACACTGAGACCCATGATTCCACAGTGTCTCTCTAGAAATGCTTTTCATCCCTACTTATGAAAGCACAAGGTTGAGTTAAAAAGTGTACAAGCTTAGCTGCAAAGTGGTAAAATGAGAGCTGATACCAGAGGCAGGTTTTATCAACGAGTCACACTGAGCACTCTATTGGTCCAGGGTAGTGGCTGAGATACCTTTTAGCTAGCAGAGCCTGTATCATACAAAACCTGAAGGATGCTGATGTCATGGTCTTCAAAACGACTTCTGTTGCTGTGATAGAACACCCTGACAAAAAACGACTTCAGGGAGAAAGGTTTTATTTTGACTGACAGTCCATTTATCATGTTGAGGAAAGGCATCATACCAGGAGCTTCAGGGCAGTCTGTCACACTTTGTGTACACAGGAAACCGAGAGTATCGAAAGTGGGAGCAGGGTGTAAAACCCCAAAACCTGTCCCCCACCTCCCCTGTGGCATACTTCCTGCAGCTAGGCTCCACCTCCTGATGGTTCTATAACCTTCCCTAACACTACCAACAATTGGGGACCATGTGCTAAAACACATGAGGGTGCTGGGAACATTTCACATTAAAGCCACACAACAGATGTCAAAGGGACTTTAGAGAGGTGATTAAAGCTGTTATGGAATATGAATGGGAAGACAGATTATGCTAGTGGTACAAATCTACCTAAATCTCTGAGGAGAAGGGGAGGAAGAATGAGAGCGTGATGGCGGGAATGGGAGGAGAGGAGGGGGCTTTGGTCAGGCTGTGAAGTGATTAAAAAACATAAATTAATGAAAAATTAAAAGGAAATGTTAGTACTCATCTTCCTGCCCCGGCCACTGTGCTTGACACTTGCTGCCCTGCTTTTCCACCATGATGGGCACTTATCCCTCTGGAACCATAAGCCTAAACAAACTCTTCTTTAAGTCGCCCCGGCCACGGTGTTTCATCACAGCAACGAAAAAGTGACTAATACAATATCTATGTGGGATGAGAAACCGATGTTCATCAGATAGGTACCGCTCCCAGATCCACAAGGGAAAATGGACATTCCATTGATAACTACTAAAAGAGAACGAAACAACATTCCCTGTGGGAGGTAGGCTGGGAAATACCGAATGGACGAACCATCAAAACAACCCAAAGTATAGGAAAGGGAGAGGTCAAAGGTCCTTGATTCACTGATTGATAAATTATTAACCTTGAGAACTTCCATTTCCCGACTTTGAAACTTCTTCCCTTTGTGACCCCCTTCATAGTTCTCATCAGGGTCCCCACAACTGCCCAGACTTTGCTTTCCATGCCCCACATAGTCCTCTGCATGAGTTACTTCTGTGTACCTGTAAACTAAATACCTAATAGAACAACTTAAGGAGGATGTATCTGGGCTCATAATTTCAGGGGAATTAGACCAAGTACAGAAAGGTGTAGTGAGCAGATATACTTCACTACACCCAGGAAGCAAAGAAAGACGTCAAGCTATGTCCAGGAGGAAGACCTAACCTTTAACGATCTTCTTTCCCCAGCTTGACTCCACGCCCTAATGTCCTAACATTTTCAAACTTCCAAAATAACTGGGAAGCTAGACTTTAACAAGTGTGGCTGCAGGGGCTACTTCATATTCAAATTCATATTCAAATTATAGTGTCCCTCCCCTGGGCTCCAAAGGCTCTCATCATTGCCTCATAATGAGCACAATCTTAATGATTCCTCTGTTGTTCAAAAGCTCATATTCAAAGTCACTTCTGAGTCTCAAGGCAAACTATTATCTGTAAGCTCCTATAAAAGTCCAAAACAAAATTACCTGTGGCACAGAGAAAACATTTAATTTCAAGTGGAAGGAGTGAGAGCATGATAAAGAAGATGGGACCAAAGCAGGGCTGAAAACCAGCATGGTGAACAGCCAATCCTATACCTCTACATGTGGCTTTGGGGACAGGTAGTATCATGATTTCAC